TAACTTTCCCTATGATCATATTGACTTGAAAATAACAAGTGTTGAGTGCCGCTTTGTCGAACAAATTTTCTACTGATAAAGCTGTGATGCTAACCTAATTTATTAATTTTATAGCTACTTACCGGTAAATTTGTTTTTTTTTTGTCAGTATAGTATGAATTGTTTGCTGTTTTTTAGCACTAACTATATACATAATTACACACAATTATGCATCAGAAGACGACTAAAATCGTAAAAGAAATCGTTATAGAGAAATAGGCGACTAAATCGACAGCTAGGCAGTTCGCGTGACTAACTGACTGCGCCAATCAGGCCCGGTCTGGCCAGGTCGGGCAGTCGGCAAAACCCGACTTATTTTGGCAGATAGGCCCCCAAACGACTAACGAGGCTCCAAAAGTATAAGAAAATTTTTTGTAAAAAACATAAAAATGAAAATTGAATCTTGTAGAAATGGGATTTTCCCAAGTCAAAAAAATAACACAAGTTTTATTATTTTGCCATATACCCCTAAAACAATGTACCTACAGAAAAGAAAGAGAGAAATACATATATATTTCAAACCATAAGCCCTTTAAACTAATAACTCCTTTATCTATAAGCTGTGGGCCTGGAGGAAAAACGAGTAAAATTAATAACTCCCAAACTGTAAACCTTTTAACCTTATAATAACCCTTTACCCTATAGCCGTATAAGCTATGTGCTCGGAAGAAAAAATGAGAATATAAATAATAACCGAGAGCTTTAAAATTTTTTAAAGCCCTCGGACTATGTCCAAACTATTATTGATTTCCTGTATCCTGTATCCCGGGTCGATAGGTTTAAATGCAACAAAAAAATAAATGAAGAAGCTAGAAAAGTCATTTTTGACGAATTTTGGAACCTTGGAGATCATACTCGGCAGTGGGATTTTCTTGTAAGGTGCGTGACACGAGAAAAAGAGCAGGTTAGGTACTGTACATAATAAATATTCCAGAAGGAATTTTTCTCGCAATTATTATAAGTTTGTCATTGACAATAATGAGAAACAAATTTGCAAAACGATGTTTTTAAATACGCTTGCAATTTCTGAAACAGTTGTAAGCGCCGTTTTGCAAAAAAATTGGTGAAGGTGGTACTGTAGAACGGGACAGAAGAGGAAAACACAATACTAGACTGCATATGAACCCGGATGCTCTAATAAAAAACATTATGGAAAATGGAACACATAAAACTTTTTCCACTTATGCCTTCTCATTAAAAACTCAAAACGAATGTACTTGGAAGAAGGTTTGAGTATTTCACGAATGCACAGAATGCAGGTACCTATTTAGAATATGCAAAACAACAAAAAATGGGATGCAGTAGCTACACTCAGACAACACAGGGATATTCTTAATTCGAAATTTAATATAGCTTTCTTTAAGCCAAAAAAAGATCAGTGTTCCGTGTGTAGTGCCTATAAGAATACAGATCCCGAGAAGAGAACAGAAAAAATGGAAGATGATTATAATAATCATAATTTAAACAAAATCGCGGTTCGAAATCTGAAAGACATTGTTAAAGAATTGCCGAAAAATTGATAAATCGCTAATAACAGCATGCTTTGATTTTTATTATAAAAGTAAAATCGCAACATACAACTTTATAATTTATGATTTAGGCAGCAATCAAGGCTATTGCTATCTATGGATGGCATGAGCAAATATCGAAGAGAGGACCGGATGAAATTGGAAGTTGTTTATGGATCTTTTTAAAACGTGTTAAAGAAAATGGCATACGAAAGGTTATTCTTTATTCCGACAATTGCGGTGGTCAAAACCGTAATCGTTTTGTTTTTGCGATGTTTGCTTACCCATCAATGACTTTGGATTTGGAAATAACACACCGTTTTCTTGAAATTGGCTACACTCAGAATGAAAATGACAGTATGCAAGCTGTGATTGAAGTTGCAAAAAAACGTCACTCTGCTATATACACTCCTGATCAGTGGATTAGTCTAATGAAAATAGCCAGTTACTGCCCCACAGTACAAAGTAAAATAAATTTCTCAAGAAAATTTTGTAACTTTTAAACCAATGGTAAAGAAACAAAACTGGTAAAAAGGTATTACTGGAGAAGCTGTAAAAATCATCAAAATCAGAGAAATCCACTGCGATCCAAAGTCTCCCAAGAAAGTATTTTTTGTGTATAATTTTGGAGAATATCAATTTCCAAGATTGTATCAAGGTTTGCTGCCAATTGATTGATAAATTAAGCGGCCTTTTGGGTCTGTGTAAGGCTAATTTGATACCACCGATGTATAATGGATTTTACAACTCCCTTCGTCCTGCTAGTAAGACTGACCACCAGGAAAAAAGTAATATTGACCAAGAAGATGACTCTGACTCTGAATCGTAATAAATTTTCCTTTTATGTCATTATTAATTATTAACAATTATTTTTTATCTTTTCATTTTTCTGTACCTTATTAATGTAGCAAGTTGTTTCTCAATAAAAATTTTGTCGACGAAAATTGTAGTAACTCATTCAAAATCCATTTTTTTCTTATCCTAAACTATTTTATTTAGATCATCAATAATTAATTGCGACCTGAACAATAATTACTTTGTTAAAGAAGAACGATTTAGCTCTTGTAATAAAAAAAATAATGAACATTATTATTTTCCCGACGGCCCCTGAAAGAGCCAGACCGGGCCTGGCGCCAATGGCTAGCGGACCGATTGTGACAGCTCTAATTATAAAATAATAGATATGATATTGCCTAAAGAATATTTCTGTAATTTTTCGGCTTTTTGGCAGTAATTTGTTTGATAAAAACATTGAAAATAACGAATATGTCATTATTCTTCGAATACTTACAATGTTTCCTCTAACGCGGATTAATGATTTTTTTAATTTTTGAGTTGTTGAAAGTCCCCATTTTCTAAAAACAATTACTACAATCACTATGTCAGTTTAATTATTCGAAATAAATATGTACAACAGTCAAGTAATATAATACATGTCTTTGTGAAAAAGTTGCTCCACTTACAAAGTAAATACGTTCTTATTACTGAAACCGTTTACAGAAATCTGCATTGCACTATGCCCAAAAATATTTATTAAAATTTAAAAAAATGTTAAATAATGTAATATGTTCCCTGTTAATCTAACATCGGCCAATTTTACACTGACATTTCCAAATTTCAATTTTTTCTAAACCTTTTGTGTTTAATATATAATTTTGTTCTATAAATAAGTATTAATTGCATTTGCAAGAAAGCCTATTGAAGAATCAAATCTTAAATAAAATGCAGAAACAGTACGATCTTTCTACGGCTATTTTTAAGTGTTGGTGTTTATCAAGAACAACAACAATAAAAGAAATTTCTTTGAAATAATATGTTATTTTATAATTTCAGTATACCAGGTATGTGCTTTTGTATTAATAATATAGTATAGAAAATTTTTGAATTTATTAGAATCAATTTCAACACCTTTAAAATAAAGTAGATATATAGGATGTTACAAACCAATTAGTTTATCTCAAACCGTGATATGTATAACTATAAAAATAAATAATAATAACAAACAGGCAGAGGACGTAAACTGTACTTCCTATAATGCTGTTATTATGCATATTGTCGCAATATTTGCGAATTATTGACAATTTTGTAATTACTCATGTAAGTAATTACATTGTGAGGTGTTTTTGTGGAATTTGTCAATGATATTATTATTACTAGTTAAATGAACATGTTCTATTTTTAACTAATTATGTGTAGGAAACAACTACTCCACGAACTACAGCCCCTTCCACTTTGAATTACACCCGCAATATCTAATAAACAGTTAAAATCATTCGTCTGTAGAACTACCAAATAGACCTTAGTCCATAATATAACTGTTTGCTACAATATCCTAGTTAAAGTAATGCTTGGCATTGAAGTAAAAGTGACATTAAATATATTTTCGAAGGATATATGTCACCCACATTCAAAACTTATATTTTGTAACTATACAAACTAAGGCGAAGATGTACCATTCTTCGGAAGGTTTTAAAACCCTTAGTCCCTTGTCTAGGCAAGTAAATGGTCCCTATAACACAATAAGGTGAGGGATCAGCGAAATTTCCACGCTGGGGATCTTTAAACAGGAACATCCTGTATATAAAAACCGAAAAGTGTAACTTTTATTGTAAGTTGGAAAATCATTTTAGTTGGATACCTATACTATGCGTGGAACCTTGGTATTTCAAATACAGTACAGTATGTTCTACTTTCGCAAGACATTTTCTATAGTCTGCTATGCTTTTCTAGCAGAATTTGAACTAGTATATTGTTTTCGACATCTAGACAATGTTTACTGATATTTTGTCAAACCTGTCGTTCCTGAAATAAATACATAAAGTTTGACGTAGTATTTATACATTATGCAGTTATTTATCTTCGAAAAATAAGTAACACTATGCTGATAAACATTTCTTGATATGATAATTACAAGAAACAATTACAATTTATTATAATCACTATTGCTACTATTATTACCATCATTACTACTAATATTGTCGTGTAACAAAACCAAAATAATTTCTTGTACACTTGTACAGTCCCGGCAGGGAATTCGAGACGTCGTTCAACCCCCATGCAATAAAACGCCATGCCGATAAACTCCAAAACCAACTATAAATTAATACTCGACGGCATGATAATAATTATTACATTTTCAATATTAAATCCGAAACAGAACTATAGCGGCGTTATAAAAGTACAATTTAAGGGTGCTACACGACTACAATCAAATCAAAATATAAAGAAAACTCCTCCCCTTAAAATACTGCAAGCCCAACCCCCTTTTCCAGTCTAAGGGTGGCCTCTACAACGAATTTATCAGTTCAGTTATAACTACCCTTGCGCACAAGGGAGCCACTGAAGAGCTCTGCCGCTAGATACTATATTCATTGCTTTTTGAACAACTTCCGCAAATTTCTCACACGACATTTTTTTCCATAACGATGACGGTGAACTGAACTGCGCGTAAATATGTTCCAAAACGGCTTGCACTTCGCGAGGGAAAAGATGCTGAAGAGTATCAACAACAACCAAAGTCCCTTTTCCATGGAGAGTTTACTTTCCAGCGGTAAGATGTCCCCTGAGGACTTGGACGGCAACAAAGACGACCTGATCGAAAGAACCTCCGAAGAAAACTTCAAGATACACCACCACCAGCAGGAACTGTTGATGAAGAGGAGCCTGAGTCCCGGCGTCATAGAAAATCGTGGTAAAATCGAGGAGGAGGACGACAGGTTGTCTCCAATTTCCGCCACGAATATCCACACTGATAAAAATGACGTATTCCTAAGATTCAATAATTGCCTGAGGAGTAGGATCTGTTCGAACTGTGGACGGTTAGACTGTAATTTTTTGCAATGTAGACTGACTAGTGACAGTTTAAAGGACTCGAAGCCCGTTTTAAAATTTAGTGTAAGTGCGATCTTGGGGGATGAAAAAATTCAACACAGGAATAGTAATAGTGGTAAGTTAGAAAATATGTATTTTAATTTCTAAACACAAAAATTTTGCAAAAGTCGACTGAATAATGTACCTATTGTTTACATATATTGTCAAATTAGTTTTTTGTGTGAAAACGGCTGAAGTCATTTTGTAAAAAATTGTGTTAAAAACATTAAAAAATAGATTACTAAACTTATTGGATACGCAGGCAAGTCTTAAAAATTAAATTATTTTTCGCGCAATTTTTTATTACCAATTTTGTACTTGATTTAGCAACGCATTTCAAAAAAATATTAATAAAATAGAATAAAATAAACAAAAATTTGATCAATCAAAGTACAATTTAATTAGAATGCAATATAATTTTACCTAAATAAAAGGTACTATGTATAACTATAAACATAATTGAATTTGTCCAAAAAAATCTTGATGCAATTTAATAAGAAATATACAAATATATCAAAATTATTAGGAAAGTATTTTAAAGAAATCTTTTGGTCTTTGGAATGCAGAAATATTTTAATTAATATTAAATTCTGTGTTGATTTTTTAACTAATAGTTCAATTAAATGGGCCTCTGAATCGGTCAACTTACCTGAATTTTTTGTTCTAAGTTACTTTGAAGTATATAATAACAATACAGTATTTTTTTTTCAACGCCCGGTCAATGGTGAAAAATAAAATAAAATGTTTTTTTCTAGATAATTCAACAGGAGTAAATGTTAGAAAAAAGGTTTCTTAAAAAAATTGTAGAGCATGGAATTTTACATAAAAATAATCTATTGACTTTTTCTCCTACAATTAAAATTAACAGAGTTAGGGAGGCTAGAAGTTAAGGGATGATTTCAGAAATTTAAATAATCAGAACATGCACAAAATTTATGAATGAGTGCGACAACAGCGAACATAATTTTTTATCTTTGTAATGTCGTAGGGGCTAAATAAAATTCAAAAGGTAAATGAATTTGTACCTGCCCGAAAATCAAAGATAAAAAAAATTCGAAAGCAAAATTCATTCTTTTAAGTAATGAATCGAATAGTATCGAAAAAATTGTTTTAGTGTTGTTAAATCATTAAATTGACAATTAAAAAATTAAAATTGTTATAACTTTTTTAATTCTATTATAAACCTACAATGTAAGTTCATTAGCCATGACATGTTTTTATTATTAGTAATTAGTTTGTATAATTTAAATAGAGAATCTGTATTTCATTTTACATTTTTAGTAATTATTTATTATCGTCTATATTATTTATTTCTTTAGCAAAGATATGCATTTAATTTGGTATCAATACTTAACTTCATTTGTTGAAAATTTAGGAAAATTTATTATAAAATTGATATAAATTAAATAAAAACCTCAAATATTACTCGAAAGAATCCTATTAAATCACCAATTTCCAATAGTGAACAAACACAAGCATTTTTCAAAACACTAAAAACAACATGTTTGTTGTACCTATAATTTATATATTTCAGATATACAGACTGTTACAATATTCGACTAAGAAAATTGTAAAGATGATTCTCTGATCAAAATAAGAAATATGGAGATACAAGGTGATAAGGGATTATTAATATTTCCAATTAGTTTTGTATATAAGATTAATTACAAAGACAACTATTTATTTCTTTAATAAAATCCAATATAGCATACATACGAAAAAAACTAAGTTATTTTTGCGAAAATAGTGATTACAAAAAGACACTAACTACGCCAATGAAAGAAAAACAAAAAATGACATCAGAATTCTTTCAATCTCTCTACAAAACAAAGTTACTGTTAACTTTTAAGAAGAACACAATTTTTTCTTTTTTTTTAATAAAATGCAGACGAAGTAATGTTTTTTCCAATGCTAAAGATTAAATTATGCATTATTTTATCCATATACCTAAGCGTTTCTGTATCTCCAATAGTTCCTGAGATTCCTGTAGTGATAAGCAAATTCACTATGTATATAACTATGATGACTAATTATAAGATGAAACCAAGAGGGAAAATTTTTTAAATAACTAAAAAAATTGTTTCTATTAATTTTTGCTTATCTAAATACCGAATAAGAGGAATCCAAATATGCTGGTCAATTTTTAATTTAGATGAATATGGGTTTTTCTCAATCGGCTAAAATTAAAAAAATACTTACAGTTCTCGAGAAATATGAGGATTTATTCGTCAACTGTAATAGCTTTCAATTGTTTTGACTAAATTTAAGTTTCCGTATCGAAATCAGACCTATAAGTCATTAACAAAAAAAAAGGAAAAATGTACGTTTTTTTTAATTTTTTTGAACGATGAGTTATATAATAGTATTTTTCTACTCTAGCTAATTAAAATATTGTAATTTTCTCTTAAATTAAAAATTTCCTAGATTTCCTAAAAATTATTAGAAGTAATTATTTTCATTCATAAAAAAATGTTCCTTATTTTATGGTGGTCAGTGTATAATTTTTTATATAATCATATTTTGTTAAATATTTACATTGGAGAAATTTAAAACGCGGTGATGCTTGGAAACTAAAACTGATATAGCTGTTTTACATTGACAATTTATTCATCAATAAATTGACGAAGTTCTTCATCAATTAATTCACGAATTTATTGGTAAACAGTGTGGTTTTACACTGCTACAGACTTTGTCAAGTTTTTTGACGTATGAATCAGTTCTACCAATGAACCAAAGAAGCAAATAAATTTCAAAAATGTCACCTTTCCACTCATAATTGTAGTGATACTACAGCGGTACCGTTCTGACACATATTATATAAATATTAGTTTTTGTAAATAACAAATCAGTAAAAACAATGCAAAACTAGCACGACGCCACACAAATATTTACATATTCCAATAACATAACCTCATTACTGATCTGTTGGGTTGGTACGTCCGAACTTCACGAAGAAATTGACGAAAATTAGAACATGCTCTAATCCGTCAAGAACTTGATGAATAAATTGAAGAAGTTATTTGACAGCTGATTTGGTGCATTACATTTGTCCAATTTCTTGATGAAGCGACTTCATCAATTAATTGATCAATAAATTGTCAATGTAAAACATCTTTTATAGAATTTATAGAACTTATATCTTCACAAACTGGAAATTTTTATAAACTTACTAGGGAAAACTTATCAGGATATTTTTTACTCAAAATTTAATTTAGTTAGATCACCAGATTTGAAACCGTATTATTCTCGTTTTACTTAAAGCCAAAAGACAATATAAAAATGTTCGTATTTTGCTAAAGAACCATCCAAACAGTCGAAGATAAAGGTAAAGACAGTGTCGTCGCAACAAAAAAATTGGATTGCCCAGAAGTTTTCTTTGCCCAAAAAAGTATTATCCTGTAGATTATTTATGGTTATTCGTATATGATAGTTTTCATTTTGACTTTAAATTTCCACATCTAAATAAATTCAATATTAAAAAAAAGAAAAATGTCAGATTAAGTTTTTTTTTATATTTGTTAATGAAGCTTTTATTTTAATTAGAGTACAACTCTATCTGTATTATTAATAATAATATAATAATAATAATAATAATAATATCTCTACTCCTCATTCTAATTACGAGAATTAGCCCAGAAGTCGGAGACTTGTGCGGGAGAGGAGGCGGCATATTATTATTAAGCAGGCCGCATTTGCGCCCAGGAGCGACTTATGTTGGTAGGCCCTAACCACCATTCAGTGCAGGAATGAGGGAAACCTGGAAAACCTCATTAATTAGGGGGGTGGTCAAATGCCAGCCGGTGTCAATCTCTCACATTGACCCAAGCCAACATTCTTCCACCCTACCATACCTGCACAGAGGGCGCCAATCCTCCGTACAAGTATAGATAATCTACGGTCACCGGCCGCGGGATTCGAAACCCGGGCAGTTAGACACATCGATTTAAGTACTGACGCCTTAAACCGTGCGGCTATCGACCGACCATGTACCATAATGAAGTAGATATTAACTTCCATAATAAATTTGTTAATAATCTGATCAAAGAAATAACAGATATTTGCTGATTTTATCATTTTCTCCTAAATGAAAAATTTATTAGAGAAAATCATTTTTTCAACTGTGAAATATATTTTATGGTAAATAATTATACTTTGTTAAATATTTACATTAGAGAAATTTAGGAAATGATGAGTGAAAAATAGAAAAAATATAGAGCCTATATCTTCGCAAACTTGAAAATTTCTTAAATCTACTCGTACTTGGAAATATTTTTTCATCAAAATTTAGTCTACTGTAAATTATTATGAATAGTAATTCATGTAATTTGCTAGTCCTGATAAAAATGTTAAATAAGCCGAGTTAGAATGGACTATCTTAAAAAAACATGTAAAATAAATAAGAATAACTAAAAGAATAATAAAACTGTATCACCCTTTATTTCAAAACAGAGCCTTTTGCTGATTCAGGTTCAAATGAACTTTTTTATATTTAAACAAATACTCACTTATAGAATTTTGTCGGTACATTGCAACACCTTGTATAAAATAAGAACAAACAAACTTATCAAAACTTAGCCTGTACAGATCCTTTTAACGCAGATTTATTAAGGTTTTTTTTAATTTTTGTCAATAGTTCTGACAATTAAAGCAACGTAAACGACATATGCATAGCTTGTTTCCCATCGTAGTTTTTTTAAGGCCAAAAGTGATCTCATAAACCCATAACAATAAAAACAGCGTTTGCACAAACACGAGTAACGAGAACGAGCCCCCACCCAGCAGCCACATGAAAAAAATACATTTTTAATATGCACGCCCATCGGTCCCTATCTATGGGGATCATAAAAATCCAGAGACCAACGCCTTAAAAAAACAACCGACGATCGCGCACCGCCTTATTGAATCATATTGTTAAATTTATCGCAACGAAAAGACCATCTCTATACAATGTATCCATGAACCTAATAAACGGGCTCATTGTAGGGAGGTTCCTTAAATCCTCAGTGTAAATATACCGGGGGATTATCGGGAAAAAACCCTTTGTGGCTTCACAATAGTCCGGTTTGTTGAACATTG